CCGTACGGCACCAGGCCCTCTGCTCCTCACCCGAACGGCGGTGCCCCTCCCCCGGACCCCAGGGCCCTCTCTGAGCCGCTTGGCAAGAGCCACTCTGACCAAGAGGCCAGGGAAGGCGCCCAGGCTGGGCAGGCCCTGTCGCCACACCCCTCCGTCTGGGGGGCTTATGGGCCGCAGCCCCCCTCCCCCCCCAAGCCAGACACACGTGCAGGCAGGCCAGCAGGTGCCCACCACCCAGGATGATTGACAGGGGGCCGGGGAATGGAGGGCAATCATCACACAATGTTAGAACCAGAAGAACCTTCGAGACCTTGGAGTCTGCCCTGCCCCTGCCCCTGCCCCTGTCCACTAGGTCCACGTGGGGACACTGAGGCTCACCCTGCTGACCCGAGAGCGAGGCACGCTGCTCACTCGCCCTGCCCTAGCCTGAGGGGCAGGAGGGCTTGGGGACGTGGTCAGCAGGTGCTACCAGCTCTGCCTGATCCTCCTAGTGACCCGGGCACCTTCGGACCCTCTGCGGGCTGTTTGCTCATCTATAGCCACCAGGGCCGCGCCTGCCTCGCCGATGAATGGACGTGCAGGCTCTCAGGGTGCAGCCGAGGCCAGACACCCCGGGCTGCCTCAGGAGGGGCCCCGGAGGCTGGAGCCCAGGCACTGAGCCACCAGAGGGCGCCCCACGTGATACCCTGAGCTTCCCGCACAGGTGCAAGGTGAGGCCGGTGGGGGGGGCACCTCAGGAGGGGGTGGCAGGAGGGGGGCTCCCAGTGACCTGCCCAGAGCAGGGGCAAGGATCCATGGAGAGAAGTGGTCCCACGCGGGGGACCGCCCTTTCCGGGAACGACCAGCCAATCCCTGCATATCTATCGGGCTGTTTCCCTCTGGGGAATGGGTGTAGGTGGCTGGGTTTCGAAGGTTCCCTCCGGCTTGGCACAGCCAAACCCCAGCGCCCAGAAGCAATACTAGGCAGGACACAGGTCACCCCTGCCCTGTCCCCTTAGACAGGGACGTGGCAAGTAGGTGAGACAGCCTGGGACACCCAGCCCCGCTACCAGGCCAGGCCAGGCCTCCCTCCTGTCGGCTCACCCCCCGCAGAGTGCGGGAAGGGCTGAGGAGCCCGGGGGTGGGTGCCCAGGGAGGCGCGTGCCTGAGCGGGTCAGCCCCAGGGCGGTACCTTCTGGACATCGGGCTCGGTCAGTAACCGGGTAGCCAGGTCACTGTCCCCCTCAGGGGGCGCCCGGGCCTGCAGGTATAGCTGTGGGGAAGGGGGAGGGCACAGGGTGGAGGAGGCAGAGGAGAGAGAAGGGAGATGAGGGAGGTGCAGGGTTAGAGCAGGGCCTGTGGCAGCTGCCGGGGCCTGCCCTAGAGGGAAGGATGCGCCCTGAGCCCAGGCTGAGCGCCCCCAGGCCCTAGAGAAGGGGAGGGAAGCTGCGCCCCATGCCCTGCTCAGAGGGACAGTCGGGCGGCTAAATGGACAGGAGCAGGCCCTGCATCCAAACCGCTGACCATCCTCCTGCCCCGGACCTGGGGCTAGGGAAAGGGAAAACGGGGGCCAGGGCAGCTCCTGTCCTTCCACAGCACCCCCTCCTGTGGGTACAGAGCCATCCTCGGCTGCAGGCCCCCCACTGCGCTGCAGGCATCACACCAGCTCGTCCCTCCAGCCTGTGCGGCCCAGGTGTGCTTGGCAGCATCTGGACACGCACATGCGGTTCCCCCTCCGCTTCCAGGCCCTGCACCCCTGCCCGGCCGCCCACCTTGCTGTTCTGGATGAGGCGGATGAGGTGCTCGAAGCAGTTGTTGCTGAGGAAGGTGGCCTGCAGCACTGGCCGGTCCTCGCAGGCCAGCATCATGGGGATGGCGTCTGTGGAGGGGCCACGGGTCAGCCCTGCCCACCCCTCCCAGCAGCGCCCACCGCGGCCTGA